GCCCTCCGAGGCCTTCAGAAAACTTGGGCGCCGCCCTCCGCCCGCAGCTCCGGCCCGAGCTCCCCGAGCGCGGACGGCCGCTGGCCGTCCCCACCCGGCCGCGACTCGGGTCCGCGGCGGGCACTTACCTCCTCGCGGCGCCGGGCGGCAGCGGGCGGCGAGCTCGCGGCGGCTCCCGCTGGAGTGCGCGGGGCGCGGAGGAGCGCGCGCCTTTAAGACTCTTCCCCCAGACTCCGCCAGGTGGTGTCACGCCGCCCGGCCCTCGCGGCTCCCAGCCCCGCTGCCTCCCGGCCCTTGGCGGGCAGAATCCCCGCCGCTCGCTCCCACCCCGCGCCCTGCCGCGCCGGCTCCTGCGGAGTTGGGCCAGGAACACCGGAGGACAGGAGGGGCGCAGGACGGAACACTCGGATGCCCACGAGAAAGCCGCCCATCCTACCCATTCTAGCTTTGGCTGACCGGGGTGGGAGCTGAGGAATCTATTTTTTCGACCGCGTGCTGGGGGCGGGGGTGGGAGGAGAGGCTCGAGAAGTCCGGACCGAGGGCATGCGAGTATCTCCCCACTGCTGTCACCTCAAGTCCGTGCTAACTGGTCCTCTCGCCCTGGAGCCAAGGTGGCCCGCCTCCCCCAGTTACCATTAAAATGACTGAAGAGATAAACTAGCGGGAGCACAGTTGCCGCTTAACGCTGGAGACATGCGTCATTCACGCTCCTGAAACGTAGAAAAGTTTAAGAGGACCCGCGGGGAGGCTGAAGGAACTCCACACATTCATCAAGCCGGGAGCAGGAGCGGACTGGGCAGCCCCAGCGCAACCCGCCCCCGGGCGCCTCCTCCGGGCTCCGGGTACAAGTGAGGGTCACACGCGAGCGCGGCACTTGGGAGCCCTCCGCCCAGGTCAGGGCTGAGGGCACAGGTTTGCAAGCGTAAACTAGGTCTAGCTCCAGGCCATTATGAAAATTTTACATCATGTGTCTCCTCTGCCAAGAATTTTTTTTTTTTTTTTACATTTGTATGGAGATTTCAAACTGCATTAGTAATTAACTCCGTTTTTCTGTCTTCATTGCCTATTGCCGTTTCTTTTATGTGAATATCTTCCTCATTCCTGAGTTCCTTGTTTTGATTCATTTCTCACACCACCGGAACGCTTCTTTGAGGAATCCTTGGGGGACGGGCGGATGGATGGTGAACTTTTTGAGCCTTGGCGAATCTCAGAATGTCTGTTCATTTGTACACTCAAGCACTCGTGAGATATAGGATTCTAGGGCGGTAACCCTTTATTTACACTTACAACTCTCTAAGACAGTGATGTTGCTAGCATTAAACAAGGAAGTGAATGTTAAAGTGTTTTCTTTGCTCTGTGGCTGAGACATAGAAGATTCATGAGTGAAACTATTTATGACTATCTTTTATTGGTTATTGATCGATTGCCTTCTGGCTAAAGGAATTTCTCCTAGGTTTTAGAGAAGACCCCTTCTTTTTCTTCTCATCTGGCTTTAGTTTTCTTTACTTTCTTAAAAGAAAAATATAGGTTCTGCTATTGCCTCCTTTACTAACTGTGACCTTGGATTAGTCCCCTGTCTCTCTTCACCTTCATTGCTTCTATAAAATGAAGGAATCGGATCACATGATTGTCGCTGTCCTGTCTAGCTTCAATAGACTGGAATTCTATTTTTTTTTTTTTTGAGTTGGAGTCTGACTCTGTCACCCAGACTGGAGTGCAGTGGCCGCTCCTGGCCACCGCAGCCTCGACCTGCTGGGCTCCGGCAATCCTTCCGCCTCAGCCTCCCAAGTAGCTGGAACTACAGGCGCGCGCTACCACACCCGGCTAATTTTTTGATTTATTGTAGAGATGAGGTCTCGCCAAGTTGCCCAGGCGGGTCTCGAACCCGCGGGCTCAGGCAATCCACTCACCTCAGCCTCCCAAAGCATGAGATTACAGGCTGAGGCACCGAGCCCAGCTTGGAAGTCTATTAATCTATGATTAAAAAGCAGCGGCCCCACTACAATGAAAAACCACTTCACAGTGATTAGGATGGCCATAAGAACAAAGACAATAACAAGGATTAGTGAGGGCATGGAGGAACTGGAATTCTTATGCTTTGTTGGTAGGAATGTAAACAGGTTGCAGCCATTGGAAGCAGTCTGGGAGTTCCTCAAAAGCCTAAACATAGAGTTATTGTATGACCTGGTGATTCCACTCCTAGGAATACACCCAAGAGAAACAAAAACATATATTCACACAAAAACTTATACACAAATATTCACAACAATAATTCCTCACACCACTGAAATGCTACTTTGAGTAACCCTTGAGAGAATGGCAGATAGCTGGTGCACTTTTTGAGTCTTTGCATGACTCAGAATGTCTGCTAATGCATACACACAGACACTAGTCATAAGATTCTAGGGGCATAGCCCTTTATGGGCACTTGCAACCCTTTAAAATAGGGATGTTGCCAGCATTAAACAAGGAAGCAGGTAGGCCAAACTCGGAAACAACCCAAATGTTCATCAACTAATGACTGGATAAACAAAATGTGATATATCCATACATATAATTCCTATTATTCAGTCATTAAGAGGAATGAAGTACTGATACATGCTACAAAATGGGTGAACTTTGGAAACATTATGCTAAGTGAGACAAGCCAGACACAAAAGACCACATATACCGGGGGTACCCAAAAATATATATACACATTTTAAGAGATGTTAGCTACATATTACTTTTAGTTTGCTGTAATAAAAAAATGTCTGGACTCTGATGACAACCACTTTGAACATCTCTTGTCATTGCAGAAGTCAAATGTGACTTGTATGAATCTACAATTTAAATACCATTTTTTCCTTTCTTAAAATGTGTATACGTTTTCTTGACACCCTCTGTATTTATAATGAATTGTCCATATAAAGACATGAAGTACTTTGGTGGTTGCCAGGGCCGGAGACAGGAGTTGGGGGTAATGGGGAGTAAATGTTAATGGGAACAGGGTTTCTTTCAGGGATGATAGAAATGGATTATGGTGATGGTTGCACAACTCTGTGAATACTAAAAATCATTGGACTGTATGCTGTAAATGAATGAATTGTACGGTATATGAATTCTATCTCAATGCAGGTGTTATGTAAAAAAATACTTGAGCACTCAATACATGTCTGGTCCTGGGGTAAGTACTGGGAACACAGAAGTAAGCAAGGGAGATGTGGGCTTTGCTTTCATGAAGCTTACAGTATAGATTGGGAGTTTGGCCATACCAGAGCCCCATGGTCTACCAAAAAATGAAATAACCTCCTCACACTTAGGCACAAAGATTTCCATGGCCCCTACAATGGGAAGAGTTTTCTAGATCTTACCATGTCTTAATACCTAGGTATTCCATTTCTATTTTTCTTTCTCTCTGTCTTCACAATCCTACTGGCAGGAAGAAAATGGCTGAAGGCAGTCTTTCATACTCAGTACCATAGAGCCTTTAATCGTCAGAATAGTTTCTCCTAAGAGAGCAGCCACTTGCAAGTCCATAGCAGTGTAATTAAGAGTAGCGATCGTGGAGCCAGACCATCAGGATTCTAAGCCCCAGTGCTCTCACTAGCTACCTGATTTCCTCATGTGCAAAATGCTGATAACAGAGCCTATGTCATAAGAAATTTGTGACTATTAATTGAATTAGTATATATGATATTATGCATGTTAACATACTTATATATTAGTACAAAGTGAAGGCACCCTGTCAGTGCGTTAGCCGATCATATTCATGTTTTATTGCCTACCCATCTGCAAATGTTCTCGTGGATCAGCTACTTTCTGATAGTCCACTAGGTGGCGCAGGCGCACCGCTTCGGGCAATGAAAATGGCCCCTGGGTCGCTTAAACTCTGGGCTTTGATAAAGGATGCAAATAGTTTGCTAGTGCTGTGGTTGTGGTTCCATCTGCGAGTTTTATATATTTATATATCTATACCATAATGCATCCAATTTCTCTAATCAGTGCCGCTCATTGGAAGACGTTTTCTTCAATCTAGAGAAACCAGTGCCTGTCTACAAATAAAGGGCACGGTCTGGATAAAGCTTTTTCTCCCTGGGCTCATGTACCGCCATCCCCCCAGTGTCCATTCAAACAGGGCGGGGAAGCACGTGTCTGAGTCTTCCATAGCACCATCCTCCTTTTCCTAACAAATATTCTGTAACACTCCGCCCCCCCATCATATAGCCTTCTAGCACCTGTGATTTCCTCCCCATATCAACATAATGCCTTACTAGTAATACAAAGAAGAAAAAGCCATGTATAATAACATACATTCCCATATGTAAATACTTGGTACAACTACATTAGACGACATGGTAAAGTAGTCATATGCGCGCATCATTGTGTAGATTAACAAGAAGACCACAGTAACAGATGAGGTCTGATAGAGGTGTGTTGCCCTGGTGATCCAAACACCTGGAATACCCTTGCTCTGGGCGACATGATTTTCCAAAGTGATCAACAGTTCTCGGTCAAGTTGCCTTCCTGGAAATATTAATATATGCTAAAATTGCGAAAACAAAACAAAACCACATCTTGGTGTTCATAGGGAACATAAAGGTAAGCTCTGGGCGCAGATGATTTTTCAAATACGTGAATGTCCAGTGGGACATTTAAAAGTTGTAAGGGGGCTGGGCCTAGTGGCCCAGTCTATAATCCTAGCACTTTGGGATGCTGAGGCACATGGATTGTCTGAGCCCACAGGCTTGAGACCAGCCCCGGCAACTTGGCAAGACCTCATTTCTACAATAAATCAGAAATGAGCCAGGCATGGTAGCACAGGCCTGTAGTTCCAGCTACTTGGAAGGCTGAGGTGGAAGGATCGCCGGAGCCCAGCAGGTTGACGCTGGGGTGGCCATGACCAACAGGTCGATGCTGGAGTGGCAACAGAGTTGAGCTGTCAACTCAAAACAAAAATGCTGTAGGGGGTTGGGCACAGTGGCCCACACCTGTAATACCAGCACTTCGGGAGGCAGAGGCTAGAGAACTGCCTGAGTCCAGGGGTTTGAGACCAGTCTGGGCAACTATGATAAATTTTTTAAAAAATTAGCTAGGCATGGTGGTACATGCTCACAGTTCCAGGTACTTGGAAGGCTGAGGTGGAAGGATCACCTGAACCCAGCAGGTTGAGACCACGGTAGCCATAATCATGCCACTGAGTCCCAGCCTGGGCAACAAAATGAGATTCCAACTCAAAAACAAACAAACAAATGAATAAAAGTTGACAAGGGTAAGAAGGAGAACTCTTTGTTGTGCATGATTGTTCCTTATATGCATTGTAGACACCTGGCACTTCTGGTCCCTGACTACTAAATGATGGTAGTGACCCTCAATCACTGAGGCAGCCAAAACACTTCCTGGCAAATTTCCAATTGAACAATAGCATCTCCATTGACAACTACTAATCCTG